CCATGGGATCTATGGGAGGCAGAAAAAGTGCTTTCCTTTTTTGGAGTCATCTATATTTAAAAGTGCCCCATTACTAGATGCTAAGGAAGTTAGACTTAACCTGTCCCCTGCGTTGAGTGATGTACACTTCTACTCTTGTGCGGTAAAGAGATGCACAGCTATGGTCACCCCTTGTGTAGGCACAAGATTCTGTCTGTTGTCAACTCCAACTCCTAGGAATCTCATTGCAGGTCCTGTGTGGTTTCCCACTTACCTCCACCTGGGGTTAGGACAGCAGTTGCTGGAAATCAACATAGTAATTTCCTTCTTCTTTTAGAAACTGTAGGGGAGGAATACATTTCCTCTTCCCAAATGGGGGTTCGTCTGGCTGGAGAACGGATTAAATTCACATGAGACAGAATAGCAAGAGAAAATTAAACAAAGCTTTATGAGGAGCCATGGCCCGGGGCCTTTCTTCCCGAAGGAAGAAAGGGCACAGAAGAAGTGGGGTGCACAGAGTGGTTATATACCCCCAAACGGGGTGTTTCACATGTGACTGAAACGTCCCTCCCACAATAGTCACAAGATTGCCCTGCGGCACAGTGCATGATGGACACAGCAGGTAATGGTCTGCTATCCTGGTGGGCGTAGCAGGAGGCAAGTCTATGTCTGGAGCTGGGCGGTCACAGGTGAGCTCGGCAATTAGTTCCTAGCCTAAGGAAAGATGCTTAATCCTTAAGAAATGCCAATGTTGGGAGGGGGAGGGAAGTCAGTTACAGAGGTTACCAGAGAAGCACAATAAAATGCAGATTTAAGTCCTTGCCTTTGGTATTGATTAAGAGTTTTTAGAGAGAAGGTCATCTCCTTTCTTCTTCCTGGTATAGAGAGGGAGGCATCTTTTACAGATAGAGATTTACCTTTCAAATGTAAACGTGTCCTAACAAAGGGCAAGTTCCATTCCTCAGAGCCTCCTTCCCTGTCCCAGTTTATCAAAAGCAATCAACCTCAAATAATCCTGATGCCAAAGAGACATACCTTGGGGTGGCCAATTCCAGTCCCCCACAAAACCCATCTTCTGCCTCAGCTCCAGTGATATTTTGCTTCTGGTTCTGCTCTTGACTTGTCTCTTTTTAGCATCCTTTGTTGACTCCTTTACTTCTAGATAGATTTAAACGTGAGTTTCCATTGGGGATTCCTATTCAATTCATTTCATCTTTTTATTTCCACTGTTTTGCTTGAATGACATTTTACCCTCCTCAGGCTTTAACTATTCACATAGAGTGATTTTCAATGGTCTAATTCTCATTCAGATTTTTCTTGGAGCTCCAGAACTGCATATCAGCTTTCCGGCTGAATATCTTCATCTGAGTAAGCCACGGACACATACAAACTCAGAATGCGCAAAATGGAATTAATCATATTCCCCACCACATTATACCCACTGCATTGCACTTAGAGAGATTTCCATCACTAGTACTGTGTAGTCTGCCCACTATTTTGATAAATGTTTTAATCACTTATTGGATAACAAGCAATTTAACAAGACATTTGAGAATCATGATTTAGGTCCTCAAAGAGGCAAGTTACAGAGATCAATAAGTAAACCTTCTGAGTGTATGTTAAATCTCTTAATAGGTACCGTTGTGTCAAGTAAGTAAGACAAATAAACCTCTTGTTTTTCAAGTACTACAAGCTCCCATTGGACTTATAACATACACACAATCCCGAGGCAGTGACAATTACTCCGATAATTGGAGGAAAATATATTTTCCATTTCTGAATGGCAAGTCAGATCCTGTAAATAAAATAGTTTGCTTGAGAAATGATATTTTTCACCTTTCCCTTTCTCAAGTGCTCTTTCCGTACCATCCATGAGTGCTTGGTGTCCACTGACTATCTGCAAATCATAGAGACTTATAGTCTGTGTGTCCATTTTACACAAGCCCCTTGTCGAATTTCAGTAGGAGCTCTTCACCTTCTGTGGAACCACTCTCCAGGTGAGCTGTGAGCTTGTCAGAAGCGAGGATGTGTCCTATGCTCACTTCATAAAACCTCATCTCCAAGACAAAATCCAACTCATCTCATCCTTCCTTACCTACTCTAGTGATGCCAAGACCAGAATTTTGCTTTATTAATGTCAAGTCTGATGTGGAGAAAGATTGTTTAGTCTTCAAGTATGGTGGTTCCTCAACAAATGGATTTTATAAACAAAAACTACCTGCCAAAATTTTGGAGCCCAGTGTTTTGGCTGACTTGAGATTTGAAAAGTAATATGTTTAAGACAAACAACAACAATGGTAACGATAAAAAAGAACTTAACTATATATTTCCACTAATTTTAAAAATTCAAGAACTTCATACCTATTAGTATGGGTAATATTGAAGAAGAAAACTAGAAAATACCACGTGTGGGTGAGGTTGTGGAGATAGGGAACTCTTTTGCATTGCTAATGGGAATATAAAATAGTGCAGCCACTGTGGAAAACCGTATGGCAATTCCTCAAAAAATTAAACGTAAAAATTACTATATGAACTAACAATTCCACTTCTGGATATATACTGAAAAACAGTGACAGCAGGGATTTGAACAGATATTAGCATATGGATGTTCATAGCTACATTATGTGCAGTAGCCAAAAGGTGGAAGCAACCCATCCACCCAACAGATAAATGGTAAGGAAAATGAGATATATATATATTTACGTAAAATAGCATGTCATTCAACCTTAACAAGGAATGAAATTCTGACACATGCTACACTATGAACCTTGAAAACATCAAGTGAAATAAGCCAGACACTAAGGGACAAGTACTGTATGATTCCACTTCTATGAGGTACCTAGAGTAGTCAAATTCATACAAGGAGAAAATAGAATGGTGGTTTCCAGGGGCTAGGTTGGGAGAGGGAATGGGGAATTAGTGTTTGAAAGAGTTCTGGAGATAGATGCTGGTGATGGTAGCACAACAATGTGAATGTAGTTAATGCCGCTAAACTGTAGATTTAAAAATGGGAAAGTTTATGTTATATACATTTTATCGCAATAATAAAATTAAAGAACTGTTTAAATTAATCTTTAGAAAAGATCATATTTGAATAAAGATGAGTTCCACTCAAGAAAGAAGAATTGGCTAACCATAATTTTGAAGGCAGAAAAAATTAAATTTTAGTGTCTCAATAGCTTGCACCCTATTTCTTAGGGAGGAAAGTGTTATCGATGGGAATATTTTAATATAAATGCTGGATATGGAAGGTAAACCCCAAGGACATTGTTCTATATAATACAGGCAGAAGAATTTGAGGTTTGGGGAAGTCTTGGAAGGGGGTGTAACAATTCAAGCTGGGAGGGAAATCGTGAAAACCTGTGTTCTGCATCATATATTCAATGTAGCACTTCCCAAATCTTCATCAGACTCTCCTGAACTCACCAACATGTGATGTGCAGGATTTTGTTGAGGAAATTGAAGAAGGTCTTAGCTTTATATCCAGACTATATGACAGGGTTAGAGAAGGCCTGGAGAATACAAATGTCCACAAGAATCGTCAGAAATCTCCCCAAGGGTCTTGAATTTTTATAGCTTTAGGAACTTACAAGCTCTAGAAAATTTCATCTGGTGTTTAAAGAAGACAGAGCTTCACAGATCTTATCCAGATTCTAAATTTAATAGCTTAAATCTTGTTTTTATGACAACAGGAAAATAAAATGCTGACGATAGGAGTCACTAATTCAGGAAAATAATCATCGATATTAGTTCATATTGAACAAAAACTCTAGTGTTTACATGAAACATTAGCTTCTCACAGAGAATAAGATAACATGAACATTCTTCCCCATAATAAGACACTTGGAAATGCTGGTGTAACATAGGCTAAGTATGCTACTGTGAAGATCTCCAATAATTTGACCCTATGCATTCTTATGGGTTAGATATCTTCTACCTTCTTGTGCACATTGCATATCTGCACACAGAATATTTAACATGCTTGTTTTAAATTCTTGGTTCATCTGGTTCAATACTTCACTTCCTGGGGATATATATTGCCCAGTTGGCTATCTTTCTTTTGGAGTCCTTAAGTGGTATCAGTTACCCTGCTATTGATTTGTGCAGTAAAAATGCAGGTAAATTGTCTCAAAGCAAAGAAAGAGTCAGGCAAGAGCAGAGCCAAAACCATTTCCACCATCTTGTTTTCTCACTGCAGTCGTGGGGTCATCTCTCATCTTACTCATTTTCCAGCCCAAAATAGTTTCAGTCTTTCCAGAAGATTCTCTCGATTTTTGGCTAGTCTATAGTATGCATATTTGCATCTTGCCCTATTAGGTTCCCCTGGGAAAGGAGCCAGGAGATGATGCTAGTTTACAACTTTAGAAGGATCTAGAAGCAATGCTGTTATATCTCACACATCTTTATGCTATCAGCTGGGCTCCTCTTGTCTGAAATATGATGACTATTGATCACGTGTCTCAGGCATCTCTGAAGCAATCTTAGATACTGTGTTTGTGCATCAGTGGTATCTGATGGGGTAGTTTGTCTTTGGACTTTGAAAGTCTAGAAATTGATGACACTGAAATATCCATGTTCATTCTATATAATGCACTATTTAAACTTAATAACAATTAAGTTATTTAATCTTATTAATATTATTATCTTATTATATATAATTATATTATATATAATATATAATTATATATAATTAATATGTTATCTTATTAATAACAATTAAGTCAAATGTAAACATTTAAATAAATTTGGGTTGGAAGTAAGCCAGTCACAAGAAGCTAATGGAAGATACTGGTTATGGAACTGAGTGCTTCTCAGATCCTATTTTCCCAAGTCCCTCTGTTTATTTTGTTATCCCACATTAATCCAGACCGGGCTCTCCTTCTTAGCATCCTAAGTGTAGAAGTTTAGAATATTTTCTTTCCTACTTGGGCATCAAAGGAAAGTTTAGAGAAATATAATCATTTATTTACACATATGTTTATTCATATCTGGAGAAATGGGCATTATATTATTATCAAGGAGCAGATGCAAAAAGAGGATTTCTAAAATAGAAAGGATAAAAGATAAAGAAACAAATTCTCCAGTAGTATGGGAACAGTGAGGATTATTTTCTTTATTTTGGGGGAAGCAGATTATAGGGCACCTTGCAAAGAGGCCTGTCTGAAGGGTCTGCCTTGAAGAAGCTGTCCAGGGTCATCAAAGAAAAAGCAAGTTCAGTTAATTATTAATCATCCAAAAATCCTTGGGAGTCCATCTGCAGGAATAAAGATAGACTGTCTCTGAGTAATCTCTGCCGTGGTTCCTCTTTAGCAGCCCCACCTGACTTAGGTCAGGTTTGCACCATCTCCATCGTCAGAATCTTCTCAAAGGCAAAATACAACTCCTTGACCAGCTTTCTTCTTACAATGCAAAATCCAAAATCAGCTAGGGCAGGGGTTCTGTGTGCGTGTGTGTGTGTGTATGCGGGTGTGTCTGGTTTGTCCCTCTAGGAAACAAAACAAAACAAAGTGAAAGCACAGTGCAATAGGCAAAAGGGGAAATAGTTCCTAACTGAAATACATCTCAGGACTCCTGCTTCAAGGCAAAGACAAAAATCTTGGTTACCACCAAATAGGCCACAAGGGGGCACTGTGGGACTGCCAAGCTGCAAAAGTTTCTGGGGCAGAACCAGCTGTCTGGGACCAGGAGGGTTAAGGAACAGCCTTGTTTGGTGCTTTGATCCCCTAGAAGGCTTACTAGTAGAGACATTACTTGGAGGTGTGCTGTCCCAGCCTGGAGCCATGAACTTCAGCTGTGCAGTGGTGAGGGAGTCTCTCTGAGCTTGGAAGGGAAAGTGAAGGGTGTGGAGCTGAGAGGAGGCAGCCAGCCAGCATGCCCCAGGCAGGGACAGGTAGAGGGACACCAGCTACAAAGGAAAAGGAAAGGAGCTGAGGGCAGGGGCATGATGCCTAACCCAGCCTAGCCTAGACCAGCCCAGTCAAGCCCCATATGTCATGGAAGAAGCTTTGCAGGACAAAGCAATGTTCCTGGATCAGCTGAGCCAGGGACATGGCAAGGGAGGCCAGGCTCATGGGAACCAGAGGAGACAATGACATCAGAGCCATGACATCACCACCTAACCTCCAGTCAGAGAAGGGATGCTCAGAACTTCATCTCTTATGGAACCACAACTCTGAGCAGTGAGACACCTAACCAGTTTTGCTCCACCCTGCCATGGGCTCCAGGCTTCTCTGCTGTGTGGCCCTTTGTCTCCTGGGAGCAAGTAAGTCCTTGATACAAGTGGGACATCTCTGTGCTATGCCTGACAGTGGCCTGAATCCAAGGCACCATCGGGATCCCTCTTCTGTTCTTTCTCCAGCCCCTGTCCTCTTCTTTCACAGGTGCAGTGGATTCTGGAGTCACTCAAACACCAAGACACCTGATTAAAACAAAAGGACAGCAAGTGACACTGAGATGTTCCCCTATCTCTGGGCACCCCCGTGTATCTTGGTACCAACAGGCACTGGGCCAGGGCCCCCAGTTCCTCTTTCAGTATTACATGGGGAGAGAGAATGGAAAAGGAGACATCCCAGATCGATTCAAAGGGCAGCAGTTCAGTAACTATTGCTCTGAGCTGACGGACTCGGCCCTGTATCTCTGTGCCAGCAGTGCAGCACAGCCCTGCAGAGTCACCCGCATTCTGTGCACAAACCTCCCTGCCCCGGCATGGAGCAACCTCAGAGCCAACAGATCTGTGAGGACCTCAGGGCTGCAGCAGGAGAGAAAAACGCGTTAGGCCCCTGGAAAGTACAGCCTCCAGCTGTTCTGCCACTCAGGGACATCAAACAGCAGAGGACAAAAGCATCTGTTCAGAGGATTGTGCTATATCAATAGCTTCACTCCAAAACCACCTTCCACTCCTGGCCCACTATGCTACAGGCTAGAGGAAGAGTTTGTAATTTATAGCTGACACACTCTTTTTTTCAGGGGGGAGAGATTTTGGGGGAACAAAATTGCTCAATAACTGTGTAATCTAGAAGATACAATCACAGGGATTTTCGGTATATAATTTTTGGAGAAGAAAATGAGATTTTGGGAAAGTCTAAGAGAAAATATAATTAAAAATGGTTGAAATAGAGCTACTAGATTATATAAAAACAAAAACAACAACAAAAAAACTGTGCTATTTGTAACCCGATCTCTTTGTTCCCCTGCCTCCCAAAGTCTTCAATACCCAGAAAATATACAGCAGGGCCTTACAGCACCTGGCGTCACCCAGCGGATGCTCCCAGGTGAGGACATGACTACTCAGATTATGTGATGATGGTGTGAGAACCCTGGAATTGATTCTGGCTTCTTCCTTCTTGACTTCTCCCTCCAATCTTGCCTCCTTGAGCCCAGCCAAGTATCTCCCAAAACACAGATGCGGGCATGCCTTCCCTGATTATAAGCAGGCAGAGGCTCTCCAACTTCCCCATGATAAATTCTGCTTTCCTGGAATAGCTTTCTAGCACTTCACCCCTGTGGAGACCTGAAATTGGCCACCCCAAGATATGTCTCTTTGGCATCAGGATTATTTGAGGCTGATTGCTTTTGATAAACTGGGACAGGGAAGGAGGACTGGAACTTGCCCTTCGTTAGGACACATTTACATTTGTAAGGTAAATCTCTATCTGTAAAGGTGCCTCCCTCTCTGTACCAAGAAGAAGAGAGGCGATGACCTTCTCTCTAAAAACTCTTAATCAATACCAAAGGCAAGGACTTAAATCTGCATTTTATTGTGCTAGTCTGGTAACCTCCTGTAACTGACTTCCCTCCCCCTCCCAACGTTGGCATCTCCTTAAAGATTAAGCATCTTTCTTTAGGCTGGGAACCGATTGTGGCGCTCATCTGTGACCCCCTTCGCCACCCACTCCTCGCCGGCTCGCTCCGCACCAGCCTGAGGCAACACACCTGCCACCCCTCGGGGTTCACTGGGACAGCAGACCTATCTGCCGTTTCCATCAAGCGCTGTGCTGACAGAGTAGCCTCCTGACTATTGTAAAAGGGACTTTTCGATCACATGTGAAACACCCCGTTTGGGGGCTATATAACCACTCTGTGCACCCCACTTCTTTGGTGCCCTTTCTTCCTTCGGGAAGAAAGGCCCCGGGCCATGGTTCCTCATAAAGCTTTGTTTAATTTTCTCTTGCTAGTCTGTCTCATGTGAATTGAATTCGTTCTCCAGCCAGACGAACCCACATTTGGGGAGAGGAAATGTCCTCCTCCCCTACACCCCGGAGATTCCATTACCTTCAGAGCATCACTTCTTGGCAGTCTTGGGTTGCATTTTACTCTGTGACCTAAGAGCTCTTGGCCACATTTCCTGTAACACCAATGACTTTTAGATCCTCTACATGTTCTCTTGGTGTTCCCATGGCCTAGATGTCTCTTCCCTTCAACCCAAACACGGCCAGACACTATTCATGTTTCAAGGACTGGCTCAGCCGTGCCTCCCTCTTTGCTTCTCACCCTGACGTTCCACAGTGCTATCCTGTTGATTAGTCTGCTCAGGCTGCTGTAACAAAACACTGCAGGCTGCGTGATTTAAACAACAGACATTTATTTTTCACAGTTTTGGAAGCCAGAAATACAAGATCAAGGAGCTGGAGTTGGTTTCTGGTGAAAACTACTCCTGTTTGAAGATAGCCACCTTCTAGCCGAGGCCTCACATGGTCTCCGTGTGCTCAGCTGTAGAGACAGAAAGGCTCTCTGTGTCGCCTCCTCCAATTATAAAGCATCAGTCTTATCGGGTTAAAATCCCACTCTCATTATGTCATTTAACCTTAATTATCTGCCCAAGGCCCTGTCTTCATAGATAGTCACTTTAGGGTTTAGGACTTCAACACCTGAATTTCTAGGGGACACAATTGCATCCACAACTATATTGCTCCCTTTCTTTTACTTTCATAGGAAAATTGAATATATAATTGATAATCTTTGACATTTGTGAAATGAATAAATTAATGCCCACTGATACAGAGCCATGGAGTATTGTTATTCACTCTTTTCCCTTCACCATAATCTCTTCGTACCTGAAATATAGTGGGTAGTCATTGTGGATAGTCTTGGCTTTCCATCCAACTTCTGCAATGTTCTGAGCAATCGTGTTCTCATAGCCAGGAGTGACGACCAGTCCTATAAAGGACCCTAATTGTTTCTAAAGCTGGAATATGCTGATGTTCTTTTGGAATAGAGAAATTGTTTTACGGTAATCTTCATGGTCCTGTGAAGAATTTTCCATCACCAGCCACTACCACATCTTTAGACACGTCTCTTGCTGTCATCAAGGATGTTTCTCAGAAATTAACATGAAAAACTGATAAAGAAAATTGCTGTGCTCGGTAATGAAACCTTAACATCATTGCCAATTAAAGGAAAATTTTGTGTTTGTGTGTGTGTGTGTGTGTGCATGCGAGTGTGTTTTCTTGTGAAGATAGATGAAATGAAAATAGTTTGTCTCTGGGTGGAATTTATTACCAGTCATTGGGCCACTGAGCAGAACTCATCACTCCTTCTGGGGAGTAATAGGAAATGTCAGGCTCAACTGTGTCGACCTTAACTATGGCTACAGGGGTGATTCTTTCAAGATTTTATAAATCCAAAAATAAATATGCAAAATAGATGAACCTTCTTACAAAACGCACTATCTAAAATTTGGTAATAATTAATTTAAATACACAGTGTGGAAATACATGGATCTGATTAATTGGGAGGAGCTCTGGAGCATAATGTTTCCACACTGGATCCAGTGAGATCATCTGACTATTTTTGTGTCCTGTGTGATTTGGGCTTGTTTTCTCCCCATTAGCATAGCAATTGCAATGGTGCAGCAATTACTTCCTTCTCCATTGAAATGTTGATTCAGACAATCTTTTCCTCCTCAGGCTGGGTTTGGACTTGAAGATCAACCCTAAAGCAGCCAGGCTGGGAGAGCAATAGAATGGGTGTGGGGTGGGGGATGGGAGGGCTGCAGGGGTGGGTGTTGTGGGGAATTTCTGTTCTTGATTTAGACAGAAGGTGGGAATCCACAAGATTGTGGACCTTCAGCCACGAGGAGGCACTGTGGACTCACAGTCCTTACTGCAAGGCACCCTGGGAGGGTTGACAGAGTGGCCAAGAGGGGACAGTTAGGGGAATTCTTGGTCATGCCTGCATCAGGCTGGGAATTTGAGTTCACCTGGTTCACTGGTCCTGGGACACGGGGAGCTAACAAGCTCCTGTTGACGAAAATAATCCCTAACCAATCTATAAATGAAAATTTGGGAGAGTTTATTCTGAGCTGAAATCTGAGGACCATGGCCCCGGGCCTTTCGTCCCAAAGGAAGAAAGGACACCAAAGAAATGAAGTATACAGAGTGGTTATATACCCCCACACAGGGTATTTCACATATGATTGAAATGTACCTCCCACAATAGTCACAAGATTGCCCTGTCGGCACAGTGCTTGATGGACACAGCAGGTAGTGGGTCTGCTATCTTGTCAGGCATAGCAGGAGACAAGTCTATTGTCTCGAGCAGGGTGGTCACAGGTGAGCGCAGAAATCAGTTCCTAGCCTAAGGAAAGATGCTTAATCCTTAAGGAAATGCCAACGTTGAGAGGGGGAGGGAAGTTGCACCTTTATCTCAAGGGCCTTTGTTCTTGCCATAGGGAATGGCTAAAGCAGAAATACAATGCATGCTCAAGGCCTTGGTCAGGCCCTTTTGGAAAGACGAGGTCAGGCCTAATTAGGTTTACACCAAATGGCTTTCTCATATTCTCCAATATATCCTATTGCTTGCCATTTTTGGTCACTCCTCACTACCCAGGGAAGTGGAGACCTGCCTTGAACCTCAGTGGCCACCAAGTGGCCATCTCCTGGAGCCTGCACAGGAAGCGGAGGGTGAAGGGGTTGGGGCAGCAAGGGCTGGGTAACTGGTGTCAGGCAGGAGCAGGCAGAGGGAAATCAGGCATGTTGTGGGCTGTGGGGATGGGACTCAATTCACACCCACCCATTGTTGAGGCCTGTGCAGGACAGGATTGGCACGTAGAGTAGTGGACCCTGAGTCCTGCCAAGGAGGATAGTGGGCCAGGGGTGTCTGCAGAGACAGCAACAGCAGAGCAATGATGTCAAAGCTGTGACCTCATAGGCAAATGCTCCTATCAGGGAAACGGGAGGTTGAGACCTTTAGACTCCACCCCTGAGAGGGGAGATATCTTGGGTTCTTGATGCTGCCATGGTCTCCAGCCTCCTCTGCTGTGCGGCTCTTTGTCTCCTAGGAGCAGATGAGTCCTGGACACAGGGTGACAGGCTCTGTTGTGGGTTTGCCATGCTGGAAATAGGAGCCGTCCATGATGGCTGCAACAAGAGGCTGTCCCTGTGCTCTGCCCTCAGCTTCTTTCTGTCTCCTCCCAACAGGCCCAGTGGATTCTGGAGTCACCCAAACCCCAAGATACTTGGTCAAAGCAAAAGGACAGCAAACAACCCTAAGATGTTCCCTATATCTACACATCTCTCTGTGTACTGGTACCAACAGGCCTTGAGCCAGGGCCCTCAGTTCCTCATTCAGTATTACAGTGGGGAAGAGAGAAAAAGAAGACATCCTGTATTGATTCTAATGGCAACAGTTCAGTGACTATAGATCTGAGCTGAATGTGAGAGTCTTGCAGCTGACGGGCTCTGCCCTGTATGTCTGTGCCAGCAGCTCAGCACAGCCCCACATGATCACCAGCCTACAGCACAAAAACATTCCTGCCCTAGCTCAGAAAGTGACAACGAGGGTGGCAACTGCCAGCCAGACAGGCTTAGGCCCTCATATATATCAGACAGGCCTTCCCCTCTGTAGGGGAGGAAGACTTTTCCTCTACCTAATGTGGGTTCGTCTGGCCAGAG